GAGGATCCCATGGCGATGACTTGAATGAAAACTATACAAGGTAGGTAACGCAGAAAGACAAAGTAGTGGGAGAAAAGCGAAAAAACAAAAAGGTGTTGAATGGATGTGCAATTGTTTATGTCAAAAGCATGAAATACAAAAGAATAACGACCGTGCGTCAAGTGTATAAGAAACGAAAACAAGCTAAAAATAAACGGTTAAGGAGCTGTTGAATGAGGAAACCTCGCAAGTAAAACGGGTGAAAGGCGAATGGTGATTATGTAAAGTGGGCAGAAGAGGAAGAGCTCTTGTTTTAAGTCAAAAGGCTTCGGAGAAGTTGAAACATTATAAGTAGGAGTCTAATATTTTCAGGGTGCTCTCACTCAGCTGGAAATGCCAGGCGAAAAAGACCACGGCGAAGCCATTGGCCCGTAAAGCAATGAACGCGAAGTCAACGCCCCGTAAATTAAGGATGTGTACCAGGCTATTCACCTTGGCAAATTAAACCCTTCAGGAGTACAAGTTCCTTCGTATTGGTGCCAGTGACTTCATGCCTGAGATCTGTCCATCGCTTTTGAGGGTCTATCCTCCAGTCAACTCCAGTGAATTTCTTTGTGAGCATCGGCCTACAAGCTAAAGATATCGAACCCTTACAAAGAGTAAACCCTGCGTTGGAAGAAATTCGCAATGAGGTGGTCAACGAACGGGCGCCGGTAGTTTGACTATAACTCCTCTACATAGGCTGCTTGCATCATCCCACCCTTACAGCTTCGACATACTGCACCAAACCGTTGCCATGCATCTCTAGCTACTGATATGTCCTTCCCCGCAAGTTTGAAAGGAGCCCCACATCCACATTTCCCTATCATGCTACATGTGGACCACTGGACGTCCCATGATGCACCTTGCTTTGAGATAAGACAGCAGACCGAGGTGTTTCTTCCTCTTCGGAAATGCCTTGTCGACCTGAACTATTGGTTCAGGTTTCGTGATCACTACCCTGATATACCCTTTCGCTACAATCTTTGTCCCGAATGCTCACCTTCCCTAGCCATCATGTACTTCAGATCGATATCAAGGCTTAGTCGTCTCAGTCCTCACCAGCTCGCACTGCCTGAATACGTACCTATCCAAAGTTGGCGAGGTGGATACAACAATGCCGGCCCCCAGGGTTATTGAACCCATTTTTTTTTTCAACAAACTGGAAAAACAGAGTCTTCTATATAGCGTGTTTGGTTTGACAGTTAGACTGCGTAAAACTTTGATTTATTGATCAGCTGGTTATCGGTGCGTAATATCTATGATAGAAAAAATACGTCTATCATGACTGGTTTATAGAGATGTCTGTCTCGCCAAGTAAAAGCGGCCATGCAGAATTATCGTTGAAGCTCTTGCCGAGCACCCCTGTGCTGATCGGAGGGTGACTCTAAATTTCCCCGCAAGGACGATATGCTTTATCTGTACCTTTCCACCAAGAAATCATCCCGATTTCCTGATTTAGGCCTCTTGATGCGTAAAGTATACGTTTTCAACATATCCTCCGAGTTATATTGACTCAGAAAAGTTTGACTTTTACACCTTCCTTTACATACAGTGACATTCACAGTCCTGAATACCTGCTCGGGTCTTTTGTACAACACATTTACCTCACTTCACTCTGCTATAGCCTGATGTGAAAATTGAAGGAAAGAAGATAAAGTCAAGCAAAGTAGTCAGACTTAGACCAATGCGAACCGCGAGCGATACACATTCTTGACACCAATAATCGCCCCAGAAGACCCATACACATACCGAGTCCGACTCAAGCACGACTCGGAGTCCACTCGAACCCAGGTGGTGCGCCATCAAACCTCGGGACTGATGACAATGCACGATGAACCTTAGGTACCTGCCGTCCTCCACTTCGCCCATAAACACCAGCAAAAGTCCAAAGCTCTCTCTGAGCATCCAGTTCCACGTGGCGTTCAGTTCCCAGTAAATCCACTTCTGCGCTCTCGTCTCCTAACTCACCCATCTGTACATCAATGCGACGTTGAAGTTTGGGTTCGTCATAAGGAGTCGCGTTGTCTTTTAATGTGTATTGGCCAACACTAAATTCGGGTTCGAGTTCAGTCACCCAAGGACTTTCTTCATACTCCTCATAGTCATCTTCCGAAAATGGTCCAAGGTCGTAGTGATGAAGATCTTGTTGTGTGAAAACTGGTCGTGTTTTCGTTGAATCATAAGCGTCCAGGTCCTCAAATTCAAACTCAAATTCGTCGTGTGAACAAGATCGAATGAAGTAATTTTCGTTACTACCATTGCTAGACTCACAATAGCTGACTCTTTCATTGGGTAATCGGCGAGGTGAACTTGTCTGATTATTTATATATTCCGCGAGCTGATGATTGAGAACAGCTTCTCCAGGCCACAACGAGTCAGTATCAAAGCCGTGAGCATCTTCATCATAACGCTCGTTCATGATCACATTTTTCGAAGAGAAGAAACTTGGAGAACACTCGGTGTATGAAATGAGTGCTTGATTTGTTTTCGAAGAGATCTCTGAAATTGAGTGAGAATTCTGAAGAGCCATAGTCTCACTCATCCCAAAAGGCTGCGGCGTATGAGAATATGCAACTGGTGTCTCAGTCTGGCAGTCCATTATAAGTCGATCTAGCGTCGTACTTCGGGCAGTTCTGGGATTTCTCTTATTCTTCCCAGTTTCTCGCAAAGGATTCTCGGCTTCAGAGACGAGATTGATACGACTTTCGACTAAACGGTTTGGTCGCACTACTCGATCCTCTGGATCTATTCCCGAAAGCTTTCTGTTGCGGATATCGTCGGGCTTCAGTGCTCGGCGTCCAGAATCGTGGCAAGAAACCGGCGCTGGCTGTTCGTTGAGTTTTTGAACGTGTTGGGGAGACTGCCCCGTGGCAAACAAAGGAATACGCTTTGTTGATCTTTTGTCGCTCCTTAGACGCAACGAATTTGCCGAATGCAGATGATCGGTGCCCGAAGCACTCGAACCCGAGGTTCCAGCAGGTCTCGTGCTCGGTCCATCAGTCAGAGTGCGCGCAGGTGCATTCTTAGGCACGGCTCCACGGGAACACGAGTCTGCCTCTTGAGTCGAAGCACGTATCGTGTCGCGCTCACGCTCGTTGTCGATAGTTGAACGCGTTTTCTTCCGCCTGGGAGACTTCGGTTGACTCACAGAGGAATAGCTGGTGTGGCTTGTTCTTTTTCTCTTTTTCTTGTCCAAAAAATTTAGCTCATTGAACACTAGATCACCTATTGAAAAATTCACACGGTCAAATCTTGATTAAAAATATGAGACAAAATTTCATTGGCTTCAAGCTTCAGGCTAAAAAGATGACCCTGAACCAATTTCTGGATCAAATGAAGTTGTGCTCACCAGAGCCTTTACGAGGAGTAGGTCTTACTTTCGAACTGGATATGGTATGATTAAAGATGCCAGAGGTGGTCGCTCTTCCAATCTGTTAGAACGGATTAAGAGTTACAACAAAGGCAGAAATTGACTCATTCTCGGTAAGCGCGCTCTAACAGAGCCAATGTGAACCGAAAAAAGTTTTACCGTGATTCTACCATGATCTTTGACAGCCTTTGACTTGGGCGCAGACTGTAAGCCATCTAGAGCCCTCTTGATAGTCGTCTCCCGTCTCGTATTAGCTTTTTGTTCTTTTTGTTGTGAATCCATTTGCAATTGCGCTTCACGCTTCAGCCTTTCGTGTATCGGAAGCGATTGATCTTTGATTATCCCTGCCTTGTTTCGACGCTTCTCTTTTCTCTCCTCAAGAACTACGTGAACGTTCAGATATCAGCACCAGAAGGAAAAAAAAAATCACAGGCCCCACTCTCTTGCATCTCACCACCCACTCACTCTTTTCTCGGTCGACAACCTCATCATCTGTCTCTCTTCGGACTACTTCCTTCTCCTTGCCTTTCTTTTTCTTCTCCTTTGCAAGTTCGATCCCAACTCTCGTTTTTTTCGGACCCGGGACATTTTTTGGAGCCGCCTGCTTTTCTATAGCCTTGATCTCTAGTGGTGCTCGCGCTTGCAAAGGGATCGAGCCTGATCCGAAGTCTGATCCCATTCCCGGTTCATTCTCCATCACGTCCGGCGGTAAGACCGAAGCGAGTCGATTATCTCTAGAGTTTCTTCGAATCTCTCCCTCACCGTTCTCCTGGTTCCTTTGCCTGTTGAGTTCAAGGGAAGTCTCCCCACTTGTCGCTTCGTTTTCTTCGGCCTGGTTTCGTTTGACTTGACGTTGCGACTTTAGAAAACTTTCAACAGTGTGCATTGCGCATGGAGGATTTAGTCGAGTGTGAGCAAGTAAATTTTGAGACGTCAATCTCATCATCACGTTCGTCAAATAGTTTATAAAGTATAGTATATCTATCAGGTAAGTCAATCTCTTCTACTGGTTGGTTGGACTCAGAACTACCGAGCGTAAATTGAATTTGATGCAGCAATTCCGTAAAACAGTAAGTATCGAGACGGTAAGGAACAAGAACGGGAGGAACTCCAACAATGATGGCATGAAAGGTTCTATGTTCCGGACCATAAAATACGTTGACTACTGGCTATGCCGCAGTCGAGACACGTCTGTGACATATCAGTGCACAACAGAATTTGCTTTCAACTTTGAAAATAGTTAGCCATAGTTACATCTCCAAGAGTTCATGATGTTCTGTACTTTATAAAATTTGTTTTGTCTATATATATATATCATCATGCCAACCTACATAATCTGGCACTTTCATGAGAGATCAATGATGTGGTGACCTCAACCGGTACGGGCATGCCGTCGCTTCGTGGGAATTCCACCAGGAAGCCAAGTTTTCCGACACTTTGCCGAGCCTTCATCACTTCTTGAACCCAGTATACAGGCACAGCATGGAAACTGGAAAACAAAAACAGTGCGCCGTATGGATTTCATCAAAGCCCGGCAAAATGTTGCGGACCAGGCGGCAGCAAGTCTTCCGGTCAAAAACAGTCAGGCGGCCTGAACCTGGCGTAAAATTGTGGGCGGCCGGAATCGAACCGGCATTTTCACGGAATTGGGAGGGAGGGCAAGCCGGGACCACAACGAGATTTCCTAACCATTAGAAGACGCCCACGCGACATGTCGCGTGCAGGATGGTGTTAGAGAGCCTGTTGCGACAAGCCGTCGCACTCGTTGTGGCAGGTGTGGCGGTGTCTCTCCATTTTTTTCACTGTCGCACTAAACCTTTGCCACCAACGTCAACATTTTCGTTGTAGTGTGAGACACACTGCGGGAAAAACATTGACGCCCGCCAGGCTCACGCCAACGTGACGTGAGCCACGTTTTGGCCCGGGTTCGAGGCCAACCCAAAATTGGGCGTTGACACACGCGGGTCTGACGTATACCGCCGCGGGTCTGACGTATACCACCGCGGGTCTGACATACGCCATTAGTCCTTTGAAGTCAACCAATTAGTTGACGTCTGCCAAGGACTACGCATCAATCCAACCCAGCCGAATCCAAAACTCCACCACCGTCATCGTACCAATAACATCCTCCACCACCGTCATTTGTCAACCTAATGCCACCAAACCAACTCGTTATATGCACTTGCTCCCCCTGCATCCTGAACTCTCTCACTGATGACAATCAACAGGTGCGGAATGGAACTTTTGTGACACACCGTACTCGTCAAAAGCATCAAGCGGCCGACTTCCATCAGCTCTCTCAACAACGTATCTCACAAGCAATCGAAAATCTTGACATAGAAGAGGATGACGACCTTTCTGATACTGATGAGACTATCCGGAGCAAATCGGATGTGAGTGATAGTGACAGTGAAGATGAGGAAAGTCAGGATGTAGCTTGGCTTTGAGCTGTGAGGGCTTGGTTTATGGCAGACTGGATGTCAGGTTGCAGATGCGGAGGAGTGTTGGGGTTGGTGTGAGGAACTAGAGACATATTGGATTTGGGAAGATGTGAAGCGCTTCAAAAATTTGGTCAAAGAAAAGGTATGTTAGGTGCTGCTTGTATGATGTGAGGATGATGAAAGCAAGGTAAGGAGGATGAAAAATTGAAACTCAACAGGGATCAGGCTGTTTTATACCTTGATCATCTGGTGAAACACATTCTTGAGTGGTGTGCAAGGGTGGATGTTTGTGGATTTCGAAATCGTCGGTTGCCAGTCCAAAACTCCCAGCCTTCTACAGAAGTAGACTGGATGGGATGTCCTTAGCAAGATGACGGTGGTGGAGGATGTTATTAGTACGATGACGGTGGGGGAGTTTTGGATTCGGCTGGGTTGGATTGATGCGTAGTCGTTGGCAGACATCAACTAATTGGTTGACTTCAAAGGACTAGTGGCGTATGTCAGACCCGCGGTGGTGTACGTCAGACCTGCGTGTGTCAACGCCCAAATTCGGGTTGGCCTCGAACCCGGGCCAAAACGAGGCTCATGTCACGTTGGCGTGAGCCTGGCGGGCGTCAACGTTTTTCCCGCAGTGACACTGCATTTGAGTGGAAAAGGAGACACTCTGCCACTGGACCTGAAATCTAGTAATGGGGGTTTGAAACTCCCATGCAGGTTCAGACCATGTTGGTGTCCCTTTTTGTTGATGCTTGGAAACTTTGTAGCAGGGTACACATTTTGTGAGAATGTCTGTTTTTGTTTGATAATAATAACCTGTGACCCCTATCCTCCCAGTGACCAGTTGGATAGGCCCATGCAAGAAAAAATGAACTCAATAAATACTTTGAAAAATCATGAATTGAATTGTATATAGTATGTCAACAAAGAGCCCATGACTAGAATTTTTTTAATTTTTAGTTTTAAAAAAATAAATAAATAAACATAGATGCTTGGTATCCAATACATCAAAAGCCCTTTGCTGGGATCAGACTCTGATCTCAATGTTCTTTCTACCAGTTGAGATTGAAAGCAGATCAAGCATGGTCAGCTTGGTCTATCTCATGTTCAAGCTCTGTACTTACATGATGAACAGGAACACTCTGAGATGCATACAGATCAGTACCAAGGTGGAAAGGTGAGTAAAAAGGAGAGTACCTTCCACCTGGTACGCATCTCAGGGGTACAACAGACAGTATCAGTACAAGCATAAGATCCTCATGGATCACTACTACTGAGTGTAACATCACGACATCTCAACATTACATACACCACAGGAGGGTGTAAAGGTGTGAAAATCTAATGATTAGAGCGCAGTTTTAGAGATCAGTTATTATTTTAGGCCTAAGAACCATTCCAGGCATGAACACTGCACATTGTTTTCAAGACAGCTTTTCTATACCAATGTCAATAAGGTCTTCAGAGGTACCTTAAGCTTACACTGCCCATGTTGAGCCACTCTGACTGGCACAACTCATGTGCTTCCAGACCATGGATGTTTAAAAATTGTCAGAGGACATGAGGTCATTGACATCTATACTTTAGAAAGCAATTGCATCAGACATTCAAACTCCTGTCTGTTAGCCTGACCAAGACACTGTGTCCGACACTGGATGCAATGTCATGTCGCATTCAGGGCTGTGACACGCTGTCGCTGCCTGGGTATTACACATGACCCATGTGCGACAAGCCAAATTTGGCTGCGACAACCCATGGTGTCATGCGACATCCACCTCGTGGATGGGTCAAATGTGACATAAGAATTTACATATGCGACAACTGACCCTCTGTATGTGACAACTCACCCTTCAAATGCAACATTCACACACCACCCTTTGAGTGTGAATGCGACAAATCAACCCTCAGCCCACCACAACAACTTCCCTTCTTCCAACGCACTTGTTGACTGTCCACAACACCATCTTCTCAATATGCCTCATCACTATCCGAATGATCATATGTACTTGCTCATGCTGCGTCCTCAAGAGATGTACAGACAAAGATGGGAACTCATGCCCTGGTCAATTTGTATCTCGTGAAACTCAACTGAAGCACCACCGTGCTGATCTCAAAGACTCACAAGATGACTCATCAAGAAGCCGCAAAAGCTCTCCTGAATGTGAAACCAATAATCTTGAAGACTTGCTAAAGAAACAAGAAGGCTTAGATTATGAGGCACTACATGTAGATGGGTCTGACTCATCAATTACCAGTGAGTGATATAGAATCAATACAAGGAAGTCGAGTATCTGAGATCTGACCCTCCCTGCTTTTCTGTTCATCAGTGATAACCTTTGTAGGATTATTTCTTGGTTGGCTTCACTTATTCTGTGGCATTAGCAGGGTCAATTGCCAGCTTGCATGGGTCTTCATACTTCGAATCTTAGAAATAGCTCGGAATCCACTTTTAGACAATACCAATGACCGCCAACTCCCAAAGGACATGCATACTCTCGTCAAGTCACTTTCAATTAATCCTGAATTGAATAAACAAATCTGCTGCCCAACCTGTTTCAATCTTTATCAACCAGCTGGTGCACCCTGGTTATGTTCTTTCAGGAAATCACCAAAAGCTTGCAAATGTGGTGAAGCACTCTTTGAGCTGAAGAAACTTTATTGAAGTCTTCGAGATAGGGGTGAAAGTCAAAAGACCCCTAGCGCCTTTTCAAACATGCCATCGTGTGATATTGGGCATCCGCGCAACCTCTATGTTACTCAGAAACTATCATCATGGCTTCGCTGGTTTCTTTCCAAGTCACACATCAAGCAGGAAATTATCAACTGGACTAACGAGCTCAGCGAGTCCTCCAAAACCAAGATATTCGACATCCAGCAGTCTGATGCTTGGAAGGAAATCACTTGGCCAAGTGACCCTCCAACTGGACCCAAGCCATTAAATCTCATGGTTTCGTTATTCATCAATTGGTTCAACCTGAGAGGTAACAAAAAATGAGGTGCTCAAACATCAATGGGAGTTTTCACTTATAACTGTCTCCAACTTCCACCCTCTCTGTGAAACCTCATTCAAAACATGTGCGTTGCCGGAATCACCCCAGGACCGCATGCACCAGACATGACGACTATCACACATGTACTTAAAGATCACATCGATGACTTGATCAATCTTGAACAAGGAATTGTTATGCACTGCCAAGATATTTGTATCGGATGGGCCTATCCGATGTTCTATCACCCCGAGATATGTGATGCAGTGTCAGTAGGATTAGGTGC